TGCAGAGAAAGGGGAACCCTCCCACACTGTTGGTGGGAATGCAAGCTGGTACAGCCACTCTGGAAAACAGTATGGAGGTTCCTCAAACAGCTGAAAATAGAGCTACCATACGATCCAGCAATTGCACTACTGGGTATTTATCCCAAAGATACAAATGTAGGGATCCAAAGGGGTATGTGCACCCCGATGTTTACAGCAGCAATGTCCACAATAGCCAAACTGTGGAAAGAGCCAAGATATCCATCAACAGATGAATGGATAAAGAAGATGTGGTGTATATATATATAATGGAATATTATGCAGCCATCAAAAGGAATGAAATATTGCCATTCGCAATGACGTGGATGGAACTGGAGGGTATTATGCTGAGCGAAATAAGTCAATCAGAGAAAGACAGGTATCATATGACCTCACTGATATGAGGAATTCTTAATCTCAGGAAACAAACTGAGTGTTTCTGTAGTGGTGGGGTCGGGAGGGATGGGGTGGCTGGGTGATAGACATTGGGGAGGGTATGTGCTATGGTGAGCGCTGTGATTTGTGTAAGTCTGTTGAATCACAGATCTGTACCTCTGAAACAATACGTGATAAGTTAAAAAAAAAAAAGAAAGTAGGAAGGGAAAAACAAAGGGGGGAGAATCGGAGGGGGAGATGAACCATGAGAGACGATGGACTCTGAGAAACAAACTGAGGGTTCTAGACGGGAGGGGGGGAGGGGTTAGCCCAGTGATGGGTATTAAGGAGGGCACGTACTGAATGGAGCACTGGGTGTTAGACGCAAACAATGAATCATGGAACACTACATCAAAAACTAATGATGTAATGTATGGTGATTAACATAATATAATAAAATTTTTTAAAAAATCTCATTGGTACCACTAAATGGCCTTGACTTTTAAAAACCGTATAATACTTAACATGGTCCCAGAAGCCACTGTATCATGAAAACTTGGAAAAGAAAAATCACTTCAAGGGCCATCTGGTGAAATAGGGTGCATCCAGCAGGTCATTTTCCAACACATGTGCACCAGGGCCTCGCTGTCAGATTCGGAATGTCACCCCCCAATCAAGGTTCTCTAATATATAAAAGTAATCTGCTTTACTCTTTAATTATCCCTGTGGGCTTATTAGCTCGCCCTCAAAAAAGGTGTCACGTGTAAAGAGGTTGGATTTATTGTCAACTTACTATTACCATTTTGTTATACTATACTCTTTCTAACCTAGGGAAAATGCTAACTTGGCCCAGAACCCAGTTCATGTACTTCAAATCACTGGGATTTCTTTCCAGATTTCCTAGTTTTACCTTTTATAAAACAAATCCCGCCCTTTGCATCAGCTTTGTTTCTAAAGTGTTTCTGAGGGTGGTTTCATAGTTGCCCTCCTTGACTGAGAGACAGCAGTGGCGGTTCCAGACTTTCTATTTTGGAGGGCCTCAGGGGTTGAAAGGAAGGTCTAGGGCATTTTTTTTTTTTAAGCTCTTTGAGAGCAAGCATATATTTTTCCTCAGAATGTAACTTTATCTCTTCAAAAGTCAGAAGCCAGTGAAAGTTACATAGGAACAAAAGTCTCCTCCCAAGTTCCCCTTTGGATCTCACCTCTAACGTTTGAAGGGCTAGACTAAGTGACATTTCCAAGACCCCTCTGGTCCTCTGATTCTATTACCATGGACACACACTTATTGATAGCCTTTCAGGAACAAGGACATGATAATTTTTAAGACCCCTTAAACCCTTAGCCCTAGAATATAGCTGATAGGGCCCCCAGAGGGATTATTAACTTAGAGGCTCATCATTTCTATGTGTTCCCAGCCATCTGCTTTATGGAACAAGAGGTGGGGGCCAGGACATGGCGGGAAGCTCAATGTGCTGATTAGATTTAGCATTTAGCGTTTATGTTTCCCTTGCTTTAGTTGTTTACTGATAATTATTTTGGTTACTTGGGAACAAATCTTATAATCCTAGGCAGGCAAAGACAGATGCAGATGGCTATGAATTACATCCAATAGGATCAGAATATGGCTCATGAATTTCAGCCTCTTACCACCATGTAATCAGCCCTGAATTGAGTGAGGTTACAGCGCAACCCTTAGAGAGCGTGAGAAAGTAAAAAAAAAAAAAAAAAAGCTGGAACTTAAAAGGAGCCAGGCTTTCTTCATTACAAAGGCCCTTTCTATGAACGGGGAAGCACATACACCATAATCAAAATGATAGCGATGACCAGTCCAGGGTTAGAAAGCTGTCTCAAGATCTTTGCCATCCAGCTTGGGAAATCATGCTCCAGGGTTTCTCCAATGACTTCGAACATCCTATTTTTACCACTGAAAAAAAAAAGGGGGGGTGGGGAGAATAAATTTATTTATAACCTACGTAAAAACCACGATTACAGCAAGAAAACAAGAAATCTTTCTCAAACACCACCTAAGTGCTCTTTCAGGTTGGGGACCTAAGGTTTAGCCACAACTCCTGGCACTTTCACCTCTTATTGTCAACGTGGGGGTGAGGTATGAGAAATGCTATCCCAACATGAACACACAATGGAGCTGTTAGGAATTTAACCACAGCCTTAGGAAAAGACTTTTTAAAGCTGTATTTCTAAGATTTTGCTTGAAATATATTTTATAAATAGCTCATAAGTCTACGCCTCACCCAGCTGTCCTTGTTGGGGAACACTCCCTTTGGGCTGAATAAATAGTGCTCTCAATTGTTTAATTGGCTTTAGAAATGAGCATAAAGAATAGCTTAATGGAATAAAGTCCACAAATAATCCCATATCTCTCCCATGCAATAGCTGCCATCTCATTTTCCACAGACTTCTTTCATCAGAGTTATTAATAGGTAACCACAACGAATGAGGAGTCCTTTCTGCATTTCTTGTTGACAGGCCCTAAATGACTGCTGGCTCAGTCCCACTGCTAGGAAAAGAAAATGCAAAAAGAAGGAAAATAAGCCTAAAAAGCAAAAGTCCTTAATGGGTTCGTTCTCAGCCCGTTAAGGTAAGAATCAGCTTTTATAAGCTAGAAAAATGAGAGCAGGAAGTCTGTCTTATCTTCATATGTAATATTCAGAATTATAAAGTAATACCCATCATGTCAAGCTATTTTTTCTGTATATGCATATTGATTCTACTATGAAAAGCGGTAATTCTCAGAAATGAAGATTAGTTTACTTATCACCAAGTGGTATGTATCATCAGAATAAAGGTTGGTATAACACTTAGTATAATAGTCTGGTTTCACTTTTGTTTTTTGATTTTATACATTCTCACCTACTAAATAAACATGAGCCTCAAGTTCCAGATGAGATTTTTTTTTTTTTTTTTGCTCCTGATCTAACTAATACTATCTTTCAAAAGACTGAGAGTAACCCCAAGTATCTAGTCAAGAGTTAGTTGCTGGACTGCCGAGGTATAAGTTTTGCTTCACAAATTACAAATCTGCACCCAGCAAAACCTGTATTAAGGGGGAATGTAGCTTGCAGATCATTCAAGATTATATCGAATTATTCCCCTAAGATTTCTTTGTCCTCATCTATTCTAATTGGCCAGTCTTTTCTCCTAGACATGGGGGATACAGCCAGATTGAGAAGGTAGGCAAGGATGAGAGAAGGTAAGACCATCCACTCTCCCTTCTCCAGGTTGGGCTGAGACTGATGCCTGCATTTAGAATGAGGGGACTGGAATTTTACAAAATGCTCTCTACTCCCAAAGGTCTTCTCTGCATCCAATCTGTCCCAAATTCAAAGCCATTAGCATCTCTGGGGATTCTCTCCTTTCCTGGTCTGGTGTCTTACCAGGAGTCCAGCTCTCTTACTTCTGTACAAACTAAAGAAGCATCTACTGATCCCCAGAAATCCTTTTTTTTCTGACAGTTTAGCCCAAGTGTGCCACTTCCCAATATTCCCAGAAGTCCTTACCAGTCTGCTGTGGTTCCACAGTCAAATGAAATGATACTGCACCTAAGTTCCTGTGGGCAGAGCTCCATCCACCCTGGATTAGAATAGTCTATGAGCAGACCTCCAGTGGACTGGGAGCTTCCCAGGACCAGAATCAGTGTCCAGTTTACTCCTACATCTCCTCTAATGCTTAGTGCATAAACAGTCATTATTCATTCATTACTTCAAATTACTGGCCAACACTACTGTGTTTAGACTCACAGAGATGAAAATATTCTATCCCCAACCTCGAGAAGCCAGCTACACTTTAAAAAAAAAAAAGCACATAAAGTATAATAGCAAATAAATAATATAATAGCAGCATCACAAAACATTGTTGTAAAACAAAAATAAATATAAATATAAAAGTGTCACAATTTAATGTAAATGTGCACTTATTGTAGGATCTTGGTTATTTTAAAAGCTGCATAAAATGAAAACCAGAATACAAAATGCCAAAATGTTGAGAGTTGTTATTTCAGATCTTTGGGGTTATGAGTAGTGTTTATTTTCATATAGAAATGTTTCTATAATTTCAAGGTTTTCTAGGATAAACACATAATACCTTTGCGGTAAGATGAAAATACATAAAAATATAATTACCGTGGTGCTAACAGGGAGAGAATGTGAGAACCTAGAGAATTATAAATTGTTCAGAATTATTAGTGAGGGGTCGGAGGAGAAACATCATGTCAGTCAATGTGGTGGAACAATTAGAGAATTTTCTTCATCTGGACACCAAATAAATAGTTTTTAAATGGTTGAACTGTTTAAGATAAATCCACTTAATAGCCTATCGGAATAATTTTCTGGAAAATTCACCCTCCCTAGCCAGGTCTTAGGAAACCAGAGCAAGCTAGAATACCTTATCAAATTACTTTACAGAATGGGTCTTCTAAGGTATGGAAGCCACCTTACCTGAAAACATACCTGTACCTGGGAGTGATTAGCCATCACTGTGCCCCTTATGGGGCCACCCATTAACCTACTTCAAATGCATGTTTGCTGCCCACCCAGGTGCCACAGAGGGTCAGACTAGACAGGCTGAGCAAACCACCCCAAACTCTGGGTCCCTAAGAAGGCCAAGCCATGAGGTGCCTATTAATACATGCTTTCTCACCTCATTTCTAGGGCAGAGCAACCCTTTCAAGCTTTTAAGTCCAAACAAAAAAATGAAGCATACATTTTTTTGCTCCAAAATGAGGAAACTGACATGAGAAATAGACTATTTAAATATGATAGAGATACCCCTTTCCCGACATGCTACTGAAAATATGTAAATTTTCTTGATCTCAAAATAGTGATATATATGCAGTAATTCTGCCTAAGTTTGCCAATTAGGAAACACTTGGTCAAAATCAGTATGTCTCAGATACAGACTAATTTTTTTTTCATTAAATTCTTAGTAACTGTGTGTGATATAAAGAGAGGCCAGGGACTTAGGTTCAAAAGGCTAAAATTGCGTGGTCATGGTATATGTCTAGCTCAATGATATTTTTCATAGGAATGCACGTGTGTAACCATCATCCAGCTCCATGTGCACACTGTGGGGATTCCCTTCCTTTGATACATTTTTCCGGGAAAGATCGACTTGCAACTAGAAAGTTAAAAGCGCCTCTAAAACTCAACCTGGATATTCACTTGTGTGGGTAATTTGCAATCAACTAAAGTCTTTGAATGGCTTATCTGGTGAACTCCCTGCCCTGAGATTCATTAGAAATTTATTAAGACCAAGCTCTTCTTCAAGACTGCAATTTCCTATTTAGTCTCCAGATGTCACTGTCTGCATTATTTATTTTAGCCCACAGTTTGGGGGGTGGTGAAGGATCAGGATTTGTCAACATCAGCTTCCTGAATATGACAAAACTCCAGTGGTTTCTGCCCTATCAGCTGGCTTAACATTTTCTTTTTTTTTTTCCAGTAAAGCAATAATAACTCAGACTATTATTAGAGTACAAATGCATCTTTTATACTTGTCTGTGAGCAATGAAACTTTTGACTTTAATTTAATAACTTGCATCTGACAGCATGACGAGGAAATTATATGTGGCCATTATCAGCTCATGCTTGTATTCACGTGGCTTTTCATGTTCACGTTTCTTTCACTTGGAAAGGAGAAATAAGTCAAATGCATGCTGACCAATGACTCAACAGGCAGATATTCTTGGGGGGGACTTGCGGTAGATTCTTTTTTCTTTCTCTTTCTTTCTTTCACTCTTTCTTCTTCTTCTTTTTTTTTTTTTTAGAGAGAGGAGGGCAGAGGGAGAGAGGGAGAAAGAATCTAAAGCGGGCTCCACACTCAGTGCAGAGCCCGAACCACGCAGGGCTCTAACTCACGACCCTGAGATCACGACCTGAGCCAAATTCAAGAGTCAGACACTTAACCAACTGAGCCACCCAGGTGCCCCATTGTAGATTCATTTCTAAGTCCCTATTAAGGGAATGAAATCTCAATTCCCCAGATCCTGGGGATTTTGCTTTCTTGCTAAGTGTCACAGACAGAACTTGGTCATAGAGAACTGGAGAAAAGTACATTTCAACTTGGATCAGAGAGACTTCTTAACTCTTTATTACTGACTTGAGCGATTTATCCTTGTTATTTTGGGAGACTACACATGCTGAACATCATCCTCAGTTGTTTTACTAGCATGTAGCATTGTGGATTATAAAATGTGTGACCTACTTTATATTCATAATTATCTAATAATGATCCCATTTCTACGTAGGTTGTGGAATAATCTACTTTTAATTAATTATTTTCTATTGGGCATAACATGGCAATAGCTTCTGATTTTTGGACGTGGGGCCTAGCATCAGGAAAACTTTCACACCCCCATTAGCATAATCAAACCTTGCTCTTTGCTACCTCTTATGGCTGAAATTTATGGTCCATATTTTACCCAGGTAGAGCCCGGGCACACTCAAATCATTTTCCCTTTTATGATTCCCAAATAAGAAAATCGATGGAACTTCCCTAAGAATCTCCATGTTAACTAATGAGCCCGAATGCCCAAAGAACCACATTTCTACCGACCAAAATGCCATTGTTTGGGAGGGGGACCCACAAAACTCATAGGAGTGACTATTCCTATCTCCACGCCTGGAAGAAAACGACACCCAGGTGGAAGTTCAAAGGCCAGAACCTGAAGGGGCCACAATCAAAAGATGGCGGGAGCGATACAATCATGTACAGGACGGGCATGGTGGACAAGAAAAGAATGAGCAGTAGCATGCCCAGGTAGAACTTATTCGATCTGGAAGCTTTGAAGACCCTGGCCTCAGGAACGTTGCAACACATCACGGCCCAGCACTGGAAGTACATGGAGGTGTGGAGTCGAAGGATATTGATTCCTGGGAGGCTGGGGGCAAAGAAGGAGCCCATCCTGGAAAGAAAAACAGGGCTCTGCTCAATTCCAGTCTTCTCTCCATAACTAAGTCACACAGCACCTGCTGATTTCACATCATGCTTATTTGCTAAAGGCAGAAAATGGAGGGCCGCTTTCAATCCACAAACGCTTTTTTATAAATAAACTTGACTGGCCAATTTCCATCTTCTGTGCACATTTTATCATCTCCCCCATTATCCAGGAATTGCCTACGTGATTCGCTCATAGCAATTATGCTGTTCACTAACTGTATCTGCTCTCATTAATAAATTTAAACTACACCAGAGAAAACAATGTGTCACACGTATTAACTTCTCTCTTCTACTTCTCAGATAAACTTGAATCCCCTAATACTCAAATCATTGATTAATAAATCTGGAAATTTAACTTCTTTTTAATAAGGGCCCCTGAAAGCACTCATTCTATTCAAATAAACTGCACATCTGGATTAATTACTTTTCTCATAGCTAATTAATTTTTGCTTAATGGAAGAGAAAAAATTAAAATAAGCTTATCTTTTTTCTGATGCTATTCTTTATTAGCTATGTAGCTATTAAGGTGTTTCTGAGCTGATGTATTTATGCCCAATAATAGTGTTTTCTCAATAGTCTATAAGAAGCTTTATGTGTTTGAGATGAAAATTCAACACATACATTTAATTTAATTTAATTTAATCTGTTTACTTGCTTACTTCAGCTTGTCCTGGGAATTCACTGCTTTGCACATCTGATTTTTAAAAACTCTTTAAATGCCACTTTTAAACAGGAAGCACTTAGGTGAGGTCACTTTTACTTGCTGGCTTAGTTGGTTATTTCAACAAAATAAATTTCAATTTTCTTTGATGAGAAAATCCATTAGCATCATAAAACCATATTAATAGCAATGTATTGGTCCAAAGCCAAAAAGAGGATACATGTGTACTTATTTTAGAAGCATAAGCACAGTCCTATCTTTTAAACTGTCCCAGCTGTAATAAAACCCTCAGCACTTCTAGTTAGGGTCAGCATTTTATACTTCCTGGGTATGTAGAGTAGCTATTTTAACTAATCCAACGCAAATTTGGTATAATATGGGGTGGGGGGGCGGCAAGGGTGAGTTAGATGAAGAAATTAGTTTCTGCTATTTCCATAACTAAAATTATGGCAAGCCAGCAATAAAGGATTTCATTTAAAAGTGGAATCATGCCAAAATTTAGATCATCTTGTTGGTAGGATTTCACGCAACAGATCTGAATGATATTTTAACATATTGAATGGACCAGGGACTCTGAAGGAAGCTAAATGATTTTTTTTTTTTAATGGCATGAACTTCAGGTGATGATCTAGCCACATAGGTTCATCAACTGTAACACATGTACCACTGTGATTTGGGAAGCCGATAGTAGGGGAGGCTGTGCATGTCGGGGCATGGGGATATATGGGAACACTCTGTACTCTCCACTCAGTTTTTCTGTGAACCCAACACTGCTCTAAAATAGAAATTTTATGAATTAAAAAAAAAGTAAGATGATAGACTTAGGAACAACACGTGGTATCTTTGTTACAGGATAGCAAGAGAGATCCCGGAGCCTCAAGAACGTGAGCAAGTGAGCGAGTGACAGGCCCAGGTTAGGGGCCAGAATTACACAGCGCTATACTACATTCTCAGATGCCAATATTAGTAATGTGAGATGCTTGTGAATCGTTATACTTGCTCAATTCTAAAGGTCAGGCTTGGCCATGTGATTTGTTTTGGCCAACGAAATGGTCATTAAAATGAGGTGTCTTGCTACTGGATGGAGACGTTAAAAGCCCTGTATGGATTCTATTCTCATCTCTCTGCTACCTTGACCGATGATGTTCCAGATGGACCCTATTTTGCCAGTCTAGGAATCCATGGTGAGAGTAACTTGCAAGAGCAGAGCCCTCTACCAACCCACACTGGGCATGTAGAGAAAACAAGAAGTAAACGTTTCCCTTTGGAAGCCACTAAGACTTGGGGG